TGATTAAGTTTGAATTATTTAATAAAATTAATATTTTAATGACCAAAATGACAAAAAAATAAATACTTTAGGGGACAAAAGTACTCTTACCCCTTCACTTATATATTTTTGGTAAGAGTAAACTAGAAAGTCATTTTTAGTATCATACTTTATGATACCAAAATCACGTCAGCTCATCTAGCTTCAATCACTTGAAAAAGAAGTCGAAAATCGACAAGTAACTTTGAGGGTTGGCCTTCTGATGCCCAAGTAAGAAAGAGTATTCAAGAGGAAAAATATGAAATTGGGAGCTCAATTGCCCTTATCCGGATTATCTTCTATCTTCCCTTTTATAACTTGTGAATTAGGTCGTTGGAGGATTGTTATCCATAATTGGAATATGGGCGATACTATTGCTGTAGTGGGTGAGGGCTCTCCATCCAGAGTTGGAATCTCAACTGAGTTTGAATTAGTTAAATTGCAAAGAGGTAGAACTCTGCCGAACCACGAGCTAGTGAGCTAGGAGCTAGAGTCCTGGCAAGGTTGAGCTCAGCCCTTTTGAGCTTCTCTGCAATCTATTAAGCTCCTCTATCGATCTCGAGCTCACCTTAAAGTACTTAAAAGAAATCATAAGTTCTAAAAACACTACTGAAAATTCATTCAAACACACCCTAATAATTCCTTTTAAAAGAGTAAGACTATCGTGTTAAAAGCGGTACTCTATCAAAAGTTTAAATTGACTTGGTAAAGTTACGACATGAAAGTTAAGATCGAAACGCTTCATTTTATTGTAACCTCGTGAGATTGAATTACAATATTAATTTAGTTTTTTTAAATAATTTTTAGTACTGATAATGGAGAAATTAACATAAGATGAAAATACCAATTAGTCCAAGGCCAATTCAACTTGCCAGGAGTTCTAATTCGAATAGGACTAAATAAAAGTATTGTTTTGAATAACTTATTTTAATTACTTCCTAATAAATCAAAAGTAGTTTACCAATTCAATAAATAAGTACGTAAAGTTAAAAAAAAAAAACTTTTACTTTTTTAAAATTACTTTTCCACAAAAAAATTTCATCACCACCCACAACTGCCACCACCGTTACCATTCACTTTTAGATAAAATATTTTTTATTTTAGTATATTTTTTGTTTAAGTATCTAAACGATATTTATTTAATGAAAGTACCTTTTTGTAAAACACTTTTAAGAACTACTTATTTAAGAAATATTTTTTAAATTTTATAAATCATCTCAAACACAATTTTAGTTATGAAATTTTATACTTTGAGAGTGATAACAACTGCAAAACAAGTGAATGACTAATAGGGAAGTCTTTTGGGCCTAAAACTTGACATTCCATATCAAAAGGACCACTTTTTACTTGGTCACTTGGAAAAATCAAAGTCAATAGCTTGCCGGTTGTGACCATTGAATATTCTACACCTCAAAAGATCCTAAGCAATACACAAGATTCTGATTTATAGCCAAGTCTATGACAGAAATAAACCTTTATTCACAAAAAGATTTTGATATACGTTTGAATAAATAATTTTTTGAATAAATAATTTCTCAGATGCCGATAATTATTACAGAGATTAGAAAGTAAAATGTTTCAACATTTCAACCATTTCTTTCAAGTGTAGACAAATACTGGGCTATGATGGCTGCGACAAAATTACAAATCTAAAATTTTAAGTTGTTAAAGATACTTAAGTTATATCGGGTCAAGATTTCCCACATTGCTAGTTGGGCCAACGTTGATTATATACATGGGCGGAACTAAGAAGGGACATAGGGGGCAACAACCCCCTTCACATTTTTAAAAATTCCTATAACACACCAAAGTTTTAGAAAAATCTTATGTTTCTCCTTAGGTTCTAATACATTTTATGTATAGACAAATTACTTCGTGCATTTGAAAAGACCAATGCATTGTTATTTAATAACCAATCGGGGGATGTAAACCATTGATCAGTGATAGTTTTATAACCGAAAATATTTGATAGGATGAATTTGATGACTAAAAGAAGTAAAAAAAAACAATGTAATTTTTTTTGGAAAACCAAATTATAATTGTTGTTTATATCAAAAGTAATATGCTGACTCCCAACTCAATTTCATCTTACCATGTGAAACTATTATTTTGTGACGATACACTGTTGCTTACTGAATGCCTCTCTCTCTAATGAATTTAGTTTATGGTGGCTTATGGGGATGGAGAAGAATGAGGTTATTACTGGGGTTTGTGTATCGTGTTAATTTATTTTAATATTTCAGAAGCTTTCAACTTGGTAGTTCTTTTTGATTTTGTATTATTTGATAATTAATATAACATTTCACCCTTTCAAGGATTTGTTCCATGAATTGTGTAAATGCATGCGTCATCCTTATGAAGAGGCCATTCAAATCTTCAATATAGTATTCTTGGACTCATCCAAGGTCTTAGGAGGAAAGAAGATCAATCGCTTCCTATTATGTTTACATTATCTTAATTAGTATGAAAACTGGTTAATATTATTCAATCTGGTGAGTTAATTGAATCGGATAGTCAGATACTACTTCAACATATTTATTAAGCTAGAAGAGAAAAAAAGCGTAAATATATATATATATATATATATATGTTCATATTGTACTACTTAAATAATTTATTTATGTTTCATAATATAACACGGGCCGTTTATTATTAATCATTTTTTAATTTCTATCAATTAATGTTAACCTAACCAATTTTTTTTTTATTTTTCATATAAAATATTGAATATAAAGTGCTTCTAAGTTGATCTCTTCTTTTAATAATTTCCAAATTTTCTTTGTTGAATAATAAATTAATCCTTGAATAAAATTCTTCTCGTAGAAATATTAATAGATATTTCAACCTAACTAGAAGAAGAGGATATATGAATTTTTTTTTTTCACACTAGGCAAAGGTATATGGAGAGAGAGATTTTCAAATTGTTTTTAAAAGATCAATACCTTCTTTCACAATGGATGGTCAACACAAACTCTTCATGAGTGTGACTGCTTCTTTGAGTGATTTTTTCTAATGTCTAACAATCTTCTAGACATGTACAAAATTCTGTGGGCAATGGAGAGCTAGACTTTCCACAGAGCATGATATGGATGTTCTTTTCGGAGGATAGTTAGACCAAAAGTTTAAGGAAATAAACGAGTCATAGAAAGAAGGAAAAGCAAGTGTGACGTGCTCTTATTATCTAGTCCTCTTGTATTATTATTATTATTATTATTATTATGTTTAATGGTGGGTATTTAAGCTAACTTATGCACAACTTGAGTAATCTTTTTTCCAATTCGATCAAAGATAGACTATCCACGCTAAAACTATGATATTTATAAGGGATAAATTCCACATGACTTGACCCAAAAGATTGTCAAGATTCGAATTTAGAACGTCTAAATTTACAACTCATCCCTGTTATTACTTGAGTTATCCCTTGAGTTATGTATTATTTTGTTTGTTCTGTCATGATAAGTTCTTATTACACTTGAATTCAGAGTTATGTGACGGACATATTTTGAATTCAAGACAGACTTATTATCTATTAATCGATTCATCAATATAATTAGAAGAAATCTGAATCTATTGATATTGTCCAGACTTATTGGATTTGCTGATTTCAAGGTTTGGTCACAAGTTTACGTTCTTGTTTTTTAAGGGAACAAAGAATGGTTTTAATTACTCTATTTGAATTTATGACTTTAACATAACTTCGGGTTCAGATAAATAAATAAATAACTTCGGGTATAAATTACTTACAAATTTCAAGTATCGGTTAACCTCGAACTTTATATGAGAATGAGACCTGAACACAGGACTTTTTAATCCATGCAATGTTGCTGGTTGTATTCGTTTTCACACTAAATTGCAGTCTTAGAAGCATGCCTATGTAACAGAGGGGACTTAACCTTCACAACATGCAGAGACACGAAGCCCTCTGTATGACGATCCATGTCCACCTTTGGGAGTAGAGGGTCGCTGTGTTACACAATTAAAACACCAAGGGACTGTTTGTTTCGCGTATAAGATTTAGGTGGTATAAGATTTTATATCTATTCCACTTAGATCTAATGGTATAGTATACCCGGTCTTAAACTATAATCCCATCATTCCCTTTGTTTGTTTGTCACAAACATTATCTGTGTAATACTTATTTAAAAAAGTCAACAATTGCGACTATGACTCATAAAAAGACAATTGCAACATTGTAATCTTAAAAAGACAATTGTACATGAAGACAGTTAGGTCTTTTTACTCTATTATACATTTATCTTATTTGTATCGGGCATATAATACCACCGGGTAGGTGGTATTCATTTAAACCATCTACAAGGCATTATATGACTACTGTTCATAGCAGGTCAGTATTACGATCCAAAAAATAGTACTGACTATAAAATATTAAACAAACAAGATATAAGATGAGTCTCACGTACTACTTCTCTAATATCACATCCTTATACTACTCTAATCCTTGGAACAAAAAGCCCCAAAAGGAAAAACAATGTACATAATAAATAAGTGAATCGTTTGTCATACGTGATCGACGATTGATGTCATGAGGAGATATCTATCCAAGAAAACCTACCATTTTTCGTACATAGCAAGTGGAGTCAACTTTTTCAAACAAATTAAATAGGAAAACGTTAAATAGATTTAAAAAATTAATTTAATGAATCAGAATGGATAGTGAGTCTCAATAAATGATAAAATCAACAGTTAAATCAATTATAAATATAATAGTCATATTATCTATTCAAGTTTTTAAGTCAGATTTTTAATTTTGTATAGCATTTCTCAATTAAATAAGATGATTGGGACTAAATAATTTGTCCAAATATTTTGCAAAAATTCAACAATTACTACAACTTTAAAAATTATATTTTACTATGTAAACCGTTACATCATTAAGCGAAATAACATTTCGGTTTCAGACAATATTGCTTTATGAATTTGAAAAACCTTAAACTTTCCCAACTGGGTTAGTTGGCAAAAAATCATTGGCCTGCAGACTTCTCAAAGAGACTTAACCTATTCTCAGCCAACCTTGTCTTGTACGCAGCCTTCTTGTATTCGCACCATGTCAAGTCCTTGTACAAACCTTCTTCTCCGTCTTCCATTAGTGAGGGTAAAGGTGCTATCTTTTCAGTCAAAGGTGGTCCTCCAAGGTAAATCATTGATACCCTTGATTTCAAACTACCAGCCAACACTCTATGCCTTACACTCCTAAACCTCCCATTAGTCATTACCTGCACCAAATGATCCACACATATAAGGGGCTGTCTGTTTTAAGGATTAGAGTGGTATAAGGAGGTGGTATTAGAGAAATAGTACGTAAGACCCATCTTATATCTTATTTGATTAGTATTTGATAGTCAGTACTATTTTTCGGATCGTTATACCGACCCATTATGAACAGTAATTATAATGTCTTGTAGATGGTCTTAATGAATACCACCTACCCAGTGGTATTATATGTCCGGTACAAATAAGATGGGGATATAATAAAATAAAAAGACCTAACTGCCCTCATGTATAATTTTTTTTTAAGGTTACAAGGTTACAATTGTCTTTTTACGGGTTATAGCCGCAATTGCTGACTTTTTTAAGTAGGTATTACACAGATAATATTTACGACAAACAAACAAGGGAAATGATGAGATTATAGTTTAAGATCGGGTATAATATACCATTGGATCGGAGTGAAATGAATATAAAATCTTATATCACCTAAATCTTATACTCGAAACAAACAACCCCTAGAGTACTGTCCGAAAAAATAAAGTTTAATATAATTTGGTTTGATGTTGTAGCTCATAACATGACCCAAAAAATTATAATTTTTTTGTATGTTTCTTCGGTACCATAACTTTACCTAGTCTTAAAACATGAAAGAAAGCATTGCTAACTACGACGTGAGTAGAGTGTCAAAGTCCAATATGAAATGATTAATCGATACGAATTAAACGAGTTTGAATGAGACCTTAATGAGTTCGAATGGTAAACGGGTTGACCCGTCAAACACGTTTAATAAATAGGTTGACCAGTCAAACACGTTTAATAAACGAATCGTGTTCGGATGAGTCATGTCAACTCGTTTATCACATGTTTAAATAAAATTAATATAATAATAAATTAATAATTATTTTAAAAAATTAGGTAGATTTTTTTTTAGTGACAGCCACAGAATATATATATTATTTTTAGTGATAGCCATATAATTTTTTTTAATTTAGTGACAGCCACAAAAATATAATAATAAACTAATAATAAATTAAAATTAAACAGATTAAACGAGTCGTGTCGTGTTACCCGTTTATTAAACGGTTTATGTTTGTCTTGAGGTTTTTACCCGTTTATTAAATGAATCGTGTATGAATTTACATGTTTTTTATCCATCACCCATTTAACCCGACACGTTTGACACTCTTAGACGTGAGATGGGGGAGAGAGAAAGTGACAAAGACCCTTCGGAGAAAAATACATAATAAAAGAGCAAAACCCATTAAGGATGTTAGTGAAATAAAAAGAAATGAACAGAGAGCAAAGCTCACCGTTTGGAATAAATAAAAGAGAACAAATTCAAAGGCTATAAACCATAAAAAAAGCTACAAGAAATTATTCAAAAGTAAGAACCAAGTTTTATGATGATTACATAAATAATCATTTTTTTTTTGTGGATTAAAAAGTAGGACAACACTGTGATACCGAAAAATAATTTTCAACAGTATATCTATCTTCATTTAAATTATTTAGAGTCATTCATCTTTAAAATAATAAAATAATACAAAATTTTCTACTTGTCATTAGATTAAGAACAAATGTAACGAAAAAATTATTTTTCGATAGGAAAGTGAAACCCTAAAAGTATGAGGGGTGTAATGGTTTACCTGCAAGGAATCACCAACATTGATGAAAAGGGAGCTCTGATCAGCTGGGACTGAAACCCATGTCCCATCTCTTAGACAGATTTGCAAGCCTGATGTGTTGTTAGATCTTAGAGCAGATAGTATCTGTGGATCTGTATGCTCTCCAAACCCAATCAAACTTTGACCACTGAATGCTTGATGCTCTGGACATGGAGGATAGTGGTTTAGCCTGAAACAAGAGTCACTCTTCTGGTCTTTCAAGAGCCTACTCAACACATTCATTGGCCTAATCTTCAAGCCATCAGCTATCATTTCCGAAACTCCACAAAGCCTATGTCTCACTGCTGATACATAGTCATTCACAAGAGTCCTACATGCACAATTCAAAGAAGAAAAAAAAATGTCACAATCTATTTTGATGATACATTGAAATTTACAATGTTTTTTGGTTAAATTATCGTAAATGTTAGGATCAAACGCAAACAATCCCGTTTACTTGTAACTGAACTCAAAAAAAAAATTTCTAAAACTCTCTCAGGTGACTAAGTCTTACCCTTCTTTTCAATATGTATACATTAAGAAAAGCAAAACTTTTGGGGGATTCTTACCAGAAAATTTCTGAGTTTCCTGGGAAATTGGAGAGACAATTTTGGGGGCTGGTGCTGAAGAGAAGGTATTCAATCCAACCAACATCACCGTTTGGGCCAATTCTCTTGTTACCATATCCAAAAGGGTTAAGAGTAGAAGTGCCAGTTTTGTCTTTCTCAGACTGTGGTAACTCGAAGAACTTGATAGTTTCAGCTTCTAATTTAGTGACAGACTCCACTGGGATGCCATGGTTGATCACCTTGAAGAAGCCATACTCCTCACAGGCCTTAACGATGAGGTTGCCTGTATGAGGGTCTAAGAGGTCTATTTCTGGAATTACAGTGGATGGATTTGCAGTGGTTTCGCTTGTTTCGATGAGAGAGAAATTGTCTAGTACTGGCCGAGACAATACCACCATGGTTTGTGTGTGCGCGCGCGTGTGAGAGAGAGAGTTTGAAGATTCTTGGGGTGGGAATGTCAAATATTGAGTTCGAATGTGGAGGGGGGGTGCATATTAGAGAGAGAGAGGGGGTTACTTTAAAGATTAGGAAAATGTTATTTTCACTTAATTTGGGGATTTAATCAACAGAGTTGTTGAATTGAAAATGAATTTCACCTAATATTAAAATTTATAATTAATTTAATGATTGTATTAAATTATTAAATATCTATAGCATTAGTCCAAAAGTTTTTTTTTTTTTTTGAGAGGAGGAAGGGGAGGGTGAGTTTAAAAGGGCAAATACTTATGTATGGAGATAGGGGTGTCCATGGGCTGGGCTGGGTTAGGCCCGTAAAAATTTCTTCGGGTCGGCCCTGAGTAGTGTAGACTCAAGCTCTTATCTAAGTGAGTTATCGGACGTACCGCAGCCTAACCCACCAACCTATTGGGCGGGCTTGCTGGATGGGTCTACTCGCATGTTTTTTTATATACAACTTTATTTAAAAATAATGAATATTTTTGTAATTTAATATCTGTGTAAATTATATTTTTGAATCAAAAGTAGAATTAAAATGGATAAAAATGAAATAATGAATAATTTTATTTTTGATTAGGGGATGAACTACATCTAATAGAATGAATCCATCTCAATTAGGTTGACACCTCCTCAATTATCTATCATTTGCATTACTCTATCTCTTTAAAATTTGTATGCTTAATACATGAAAAAAAAATAATATATTATTTATAGTATTTAAATTTTTAGAACTTCAAATTCCGATATTGAGAGACTTATTTCAAAGTTTCAAATTTAATGGTCTAAAAATATAACTTTTTTTTCAAAGAAAGGGAGGGCTAGCTTGGCTTGGCGGGTGGGCTCTTGGGCCGGGTTTTAACGGATTTTTTCATGTCGGCTATTGATTCAGGCTTTGGGTTTGAGGGCAAACTCAAACTCTCTTTTTAAGGATATTGAGTTCGGGCTCGAGCATAAATTAGTCCAAATACTCTTGACCGTTGAACCAAAAAAAATAATAAAATAAAATAATTTACTTCGCATGGCCTAGTTTTAACCTAGCAAGAAGAAAAGACTATTTTTTATTGTATTTGTAAAATATCATTCATTTCATCATATATGCATATAATTATCCGGAGGCTCATCCCTTACTTCTTCGATTCACTTTCATTTTGAATAAGTTCAAAAAGAACGTGGTGAAGACAATTTCTTTTACCAAAAATGATGCACATAGATAACTCGCAATTTGAAAATATGGTTCCTAAACTAGTATTTAATGCAGAAGACTCCCGCTTATATTAAATTACAAAGTGATAAATAACATTACTCTATTTTGGAGGATACAATTCTTGAACTCAAACCTGAAACTTATTGTTTGGTAGATGAACATTGTTATCTTTCTAAATCCGACCTCTAGAATGATGTCATAAACAAAACAATTCAATCTTAACTTCCTTTCTTATTTTTTAGAAACTTTAGAGTTGTAATTGATAGTTCAAGCCCAAGGGACCAACTCATGTTACAAGCCCAGTGTGAATTAATGGTCCAACTCCAAAGAAGTTCAGCTAGTCAAGGCCAAAGTGGTCTACGCCCAGACAAACTCATCAGGTTCCGGGAGCTACATCAGCAAGGAGCATGCTGGGTCATCTAAGAGCTCATCTACGCCGCCTTGAAAATGGTCAATACCCCACGTCTTCCCTTGACCGAATCCTATGGAGAGCCCCGTAACCACCTCGTCCGTTGAGAAGAGGCTTCTAGACCCAACAATTAGTCATTTAGTTATTAATACCTCACCCAAATATATTATGAGGCAATTATAAATTGTATATCCCGCCAACACTTGGGAGGCATCACACTTAGTTGAGTACAACTCTCCTCTCCTTCTCTAAACTTATATCTCTCAGCTCTCCCTACACACTTGAGTTAATAGAATATTTGGTGACCCTAGGCATTTAAAGTGGACGTAGGTCACGTTGACCTACTATAAATCTTGTCTTCTTTCTCTCTACTTATTTATTGTATTTATTATTGATTACTTGACAGGTAGTGTGCAAAGGTAATTTGTGAATTATCAGTTTGGCATCATCTATGGAAAAGACAAAACTCTCACCTAAACACTTCCTTTGTTGAGCCTATGACGATCATCACTAGATCGATGAATTAGCCTAAAGATAATCCACTACGAGAGGAGGAGGTTGCTCTTCCACCAACCAATCATGTTCCAAATGCACAATAGATACTGGAGACAATGCAATGGATCGTAGCTTAAAATCAACAGATCCTATAATTGATGCTCGCTGGACAACAAGGAGGAGCACAACTCTGAGGACCTCAAGCTAGAGGAGCTCCATGCCCTGGGCGTCAAGGAGCTCCCCATTTGAGCCACCCTTAGGTGCCCCACACAGGGGAACCCACTATGAGGGACCTCCACCTCTTTCTCCAGCTCTTTTTTTTCATGGTGGAGACCCACATTTTCAAGAGAATAAGGGCAAGAATCAAAGTGTAGAGCACGAGAGTCATTTCCATGACAATTCCAAAGGAGTCACAATCACTAGGATGAAAAAATCAAAGAAGTACAAAATCAACTAGGCGAGGTCTTCAACGCCATGAAGGCACAAGGACCCGAGACTGTAGACTACCTTGTAAGGCAAACAGACACGCCTTTCGTAGCCAATGTGGCAAACTACCCGCTTCCCTAGAAATTCAGAATATCATCTGTAGAAACTTTCAACGGTACAAAGGACCCACTTGATCATCTCAAAACCTGTAAGACCTTAATGCAGCTGCACAACGTCCCTAACGAAAATTATGTGTAGGGTATTCCCAACTACCTTGAAGGGATCAGCGCGACAATGATTTGTCAAACTCACCCCGACCTCCATAGGCTCATTCGCCGAACTGAGCAGATCATTTGTGGCACAATTCATTGGTAGACGCCGCCAACAGAAGCCTGCTACCTATTTGCCCAGCAAAAAATAGGATCGAGACGAGAGTCTGAGGAGTTATCTCACTCGTTTTAACGAGAATGTCCTCCAAATCGAGGAGCCCAATGACAAAGTCACCATGACCGCCTTTTTAGGAGACATCTGCTTATTGAGTTTTCTTTTTTCAATAAAGAGCATGTCAGAACTATTGACAAAAGCTCAAAAATATATGACTGCTGAGGAAATCAACAGGTCGAGGCGATGTGAATCATCTCGCGGATCGCCAAAAGCTTAACTTATCTCTAATTTAGCGGCTCTCTTGTGGATCGCCAAAAAAGTTTGACCTATTTCTGCTCTGCTCTCAAGCAGGCAGCCTAACTCCAACTTAGCGGCTCTCTCACAGGTCGGCAAAAGAGCTTGGTATATTTCTGTTCTACTCTCAAGCAGACAACCTATCTCCAACTTAGTGGCTCTCTTGCGAGTCACCAAAAACTTGGTCTATCTCTGCTCTGCTTTCAAACAGGCAGCCTATCTCTAACTTAGCTGCTCTTTCACGGGTCGCCAAAAGTTTGACCACTCTCTGTTCTGCTCTCAAGCAGGCAGCCTAAACCTCCAGCTTATCGGCTATCTCATAGGTCACCAAAAGTTCGCTCTCAAAAGGTACAACTCTCTCACGAGTAATCTTCAAACTTTGTCTTTACTCTCATGCAAGCAGTCTACCCCCTATCTCTCTCTAGGTAATCATGTTAGATATTTTGATGTTAGAATAATATTATTTTTGTCATCTCTAGGCATGTTTTTGAAGCTAAGGCAGTCTACAACCCGCGGGACTCGATTAGATTGGATGTCAACAATCGGGCTTCATCCGTTCGGCACAGTCGCCTCGTTGCCGCAACACTCCCCTGCTTAACATCTAGCGCAAACAAGGCTTGCCTGCGCTCCCAACAATAAGGATTTGGCACCTGCTCCTGGGTAATAGCGCCCCTCCTGCACGCCCAACTAACAGAATCTCTTGCATGCCTAACTAGTGTAGCAACCTCTCCTGTGCGCCCAATTAGCGCAGCAGCCTCTATTGTGCGCCAACCAGTGCAACAACCCCTCATACGGGCCCAGCCAGGTGCCCAGCACTTCTCAAGCCCCCTGCGCCCAACATCTCTCAGGCCCCCAGCCTAGGCACCCAACACCTCTCAAGTGCCCACCAAGCGCCCAACTTTTTAGGTGCCAAAGCCAAGGCGCCCAGCTCCCCAGCGCTTCCCTCTCCTCTCCAAGTTCTAAATATAAAATGGGGAAGGTCTTGAAAAGTCCTTCAAAGGTAGAATATAACAAGAAGGAAGGGAGTCGCCAATCAAAATGAGTCTCCAAGAAATTCAAATTCAAGAAGGGTTGATCGCTATTTTGACCATAACTTTTGCTTCGTTATTCCAAACGGGGCTCATTATATATCAAATCAAAGCTCTTGACAAGCCCTACTAGACTAATAGCCTTGGGTTGTTATAGACGCTGTTAAAAGCCCAAAAAAGGCCTAGAAACATATATTTTGGCCTCCCAAAATTTTTCGAGTTGTTTTTCCATGCTCGTCCTTTGGAGCTCGCCCAATAGTAAGGACCTCAATCCCTTAGAGCAACACCTCCCCCGTGACTGTAACTTTTGATCTGTTTCTCCAAACAGAACCCATAATATATCAAATCGAAACTCTCAATGAGCCTTACAAGACTCACTGTCTTTGGTTGTGACAAACATTATTAAAAGCCCAGAAAAGGCTCAGAAAACATATGTTTGGGCCTTCTAAAGTCTTTTCAATTGTGCATTCAGCTGAAATTCAAACTCAATTAAATGCCCTACTTTCCAAGTTCCATTAGACACAGGGCATTGGGGGGGCAAATGGGTCAAGCCCAATGGCCTAACTCATGTTGTAAGCCCAGTGTGAATTAATGGCCCAACTCCAAAGAGGTCCAACTAATCAAGCCCAAAGTGCTCCACACCCGGACAAGCTCATCAGGTTCTAGTTGCTACATCAACAAGGAGCATGCAAGGTCATCCAAGAGCTTATCCACGTCGCCTTGGAAATGGTCAATACCCCACGTCATCCCTTGACCAAATTCCACGGAGAGCCCCATAACCACCTCGCCCATTGAGGAGAGGTCGCCAGGCCCAACAACCAGCAACTTAGTTACTAATATCTCGCACAAATCTGTTATGGGGTGACTATAAATTGTATGTCCCGCCAACACTTGGGGGGCATCACATTCAGTCGAGCACAACTCTCCTCTCCCTTTCTAAGCTTGTAACTCTCAGTTCACCCTACACACTTGAGTTAATAGAATATCCGACAACCCTAGTCATTGAAAGTGAACGTAGGTCACGTTGATCGAACCACTATAAATCTTCTCTTCTTTTTCTCTACTTATTTATTGTATTTATTATTGATTACTTGATAGGTAGTGTGCAAAGCTAATTTGTGCATTATCCAACCAGGCACCCAACACCTCTCAGGCGCCCAACCAGGCACCCAACACATCTCAGGCACCCAACGCAGGTGCTCAACATCTCTCAGGCACCCAGCACCTCTTAGGTGCCCAGCCCAGGTGCCTAGAAACTCTTAGGTGCCCAGCACCTCTCAGGCGCCCAACTAGGCGCCCAGCCCAGACGCTTAACTTCTTAGGCACCAACTCCAAGGCGCCCAACTCCCCTGCGCCTCCCTCTCCTCTCCAAGTTCCAAATATAAAATGGGGAAGGTCTTGAGAAGTTCTTCAAATGTGGAATATAACAGAAGGGAAAAGAGTCGCCAATCAAAAGGAGTCTCCAAGAAATTCAAGTTCAAGAAGGGTTGATCATTATTTTGACCATAATTTTTGCTCTGTTACTCCAAACAGGGATTATTATATATCAAATCAAAAATCTTGACGAGCCCTACAAGACTCACAGTCTTTGGCTGTGATAGACGTTGTTAAAAGCCCAAAAAAGGCCTAGAAACATATATTTTGGCCTCCCAAAATTTTTTGAGTTATTTTTCCATGCTCGCCCACAGGAGTTCGCCCATGAAGCTCCCCATGCTCACCCATAGAAGCTCGCCCATGGAAGCTTGCCAAATGGCAAGGACCTCAGTCCCTTGGAGCAGCGACTTCCCCGTGATTGTAACTTTTGATCCGCTTCTCCAAACGGGACACATAATATATCAAATCGAAGCTCTCAACGAGCCCTACAAGTCTCATCGTCTTTGATTATGATAGACACCGTTAAAAGCCCAAAAAAGGTTTAGAAAACATATGTTTAGGCCTTCTAAAGTCTTTCCAGTTGTGCGTTTAGTCGAAATTCAAACTCAACCAAATGTCCTTCTCTCCAAGTTCCATTGGACATAGGCATTAGGGGGCAAATGATGGGTCAAGCCTAAGGGCCTAACTCATGTTACATGCCCAGTGTGAATTAATGCCCCAACTCCAAAGAGGGTCCAGCTAGTCAAGTCCAAAGTGGTCCACGCCCAGACAAGCTCATCAGGTTCTAAGAGCTACATCAGCAAGGAGCATGCAGGGTCATCTAAGAGCTCATCCACGCTGCCTTAGAAATGGTCAATACCCCACGTCATCCCTTGACCGAATTCCATGGAGAGCCCCGTAACCACCTCGCCCGTTGAGGAGAGGTTGTTAGACCCAATAACTAGCCACTTAGTTACTAATATCTTACCCAAATCTGTTATGGGACGACTATAAATTTTAAGACCCGCCAACACTTGGGGGGTATCACACTCAGTCGAGTACAACTCTCCTCTTCCTCTCTAAACTTGTAACTCTTAGCTCTCCCTACACACTTGAGTTAATAGGATATTCGTCGACTTTAGTCATTCAAAGTGAACGTAAGTCACATTGACCGAACCACTATAAATCTTGTTTTCTTTCTGTCTACTTATTTATTGCATTTATTACTGATTACTTGACAGGTAGTGTGCAAAACTAATTTATGCATCATCAGTAATTATTCAAAATATGAGTTTATAACTAGATGCACAACTAATCAATAGAGAATGCCGAAGCAGCAAAAGCTTTGCCTAACTTTTCATCTGCCAGACGATGACATGACATAATGAAAATAGGGTCATGTGGCATAACTTGACAAAAATGTTTAATCCTAGAAGTTCAACGATCAGGGTGCAATGACCCCAAATGGGGCAACACGATCTAGATAAAAGTTTAAAATCTTAAATATAAATTTCCTTAGTCGTTTGTGGGAGTTAAAGAGACCACAATGCCTTAATTTGGTCGGGGTTAACCTCAATTACCCTTTTTGTCATTAAGAATCCCAAAAACTTTCTTGTACTTCAAAAGTTCTCTGTATGTTTGCTATATAGTCATCAATCTTACGACTCTTGATTAGCATGTTATCTATATACTTTCATGGGTTTTTAGATCATGCCTTTAAACATTTGACTTACCAATTTTTGGTAAGTTACCCCTGCACTTGTCAATTCGAAGGGCACTGCATTGTAGCAGAATATTCTTTTATTGGTTATAACAGAAGTTTTTTTTTCAATGATAGCCATATATACATCAAGGAAACTCATTCTTCCATGACCTAACGTGACATCTACCATCTAGTCACTATTTGGTAGAGGAAAATTGGTTTTGGGGCATACTTAATTTTGTCGGTGAAATCCACAAGATCTCACCGCATTAAAACCAAGCAAGAGGACATGGATAACCGGTGTTCCACTGAACTCCGTAATGAATAGCAACCAATAATGCCCATATAAAGGTCATCTCTGTGTACTCCTTCCTCATCAGTTTCTGGGTCCTTTCACAAGAACCCTTTTTTTTTTTCCTTTTTAAGAACCATTCTGTCATCAAAAGTTCTGTGATTTTTTTATTTATGAAATTTAAAGATTATTTGTAACTTTTGAAAATCACTTATATGTTTTAGGAATTATTTATAACTTTTGTGAGCATATGATTGATCACAAATAACACTAAAAAATTATAAATGACTCACAAAAGTTATAACTTGAACTATAGAAGTTATAATGACCTAAAAAAATTGTAACTTGAACTATAAAAGTTGTAATATGACTCCAAAGATCGTAAATTTTTGTTGTTGTAAACAAACCTAAAAGCTTGTATCTCAACCCACAATTACAAAACTAGTAAAATTTAATAATATAAGGACCAAATGTGGGGGACCTAATTTATAATCATTAGATTAGTTATGACATTTAATGTTAAATACAACTCACTTTGAATCTAATGACTCACTTTCAATCTAATGATTGCATTAAATTAGATCCTCAAATTAGATCAAAATAATATTTTCTTGAGCAAATAGGTTTTAAAGATCCTCGATTTCTTTGGCCAAAACTAAAGATTAAATTTTCGTTTCTTTACCATGGAAATAATCATAATGTTTCTATTTTCATAAAAACCAAAACAGATCAATAATTGGCTATCAAAATTCTAATATTTTGAGGTATTTTAAAATGTTTATCTATACTAATATACTAGATGTTTGAAACTTTATCTCATACATATTTTTCTTCCCAAAACTATCACATCACCTATTTTGATCACATGTTTAATTATTTAATATTTAATTAATTTATAGTTTGACATAATTTTTATTTCAAACATTATCTATACACAATAATATACACATGTTAAAAAAATTTGTCAGATTACTTATTTTTATCGATATTTTAAAAAATAATGGATAAAAATAAATTTTAAATAATGTAATCAAATAAATGAAGAAAATAAATATTATTATTTAATATAATGGAATCAATTTTTTAAACGCTCAAATTTTATATTTCTTCATGCCTTAAAACACAGGTTATGACCAGTATATATAGATATATCAACCAATGTTTTGAAAATGCTTTCATTATATTTCCAAATGTGTTCAGTTTAAAATATGCATCAAAACGAAAAATTTATTATCCTTAACACAATCCACCTACCGTGGACTCCCATTCAAGAATAAAAACCATTGCCTGATACCACCATAACTGAACTCAAGGCGGTAATATCACATTATCAGCAGCTTTTTTCGTCTCATTATCACCAATAGACTGATAACTCCGCACTCCAAGAGTCTTGTAGTCCCAGACAATCCCAGATACCTCGTCTTGAGGCAAACTCAAACCTTTTCTTTTAACTGACCTGTGCAATTCACAAAAGAATTTTGGGTCTTGTAATCTGATGTACTCGTGCAACACTTGCTCATGATCTGGTACCCAGTTCCTTGGAAATGGAGTGTAATCACATGAAGGAATCAAAGACATATGAGAGAATTGAACACCTTCAATAGCATCAACTAATCCCATCCTCAACAGATCCGAATATTCAGGTGCAGAGTTGTTACTATGCTCCCTCAGTGAACGGCTGAGATCACGTGAAGCTATCCTGTACACCTTGGCCCGAGATTTCAGTCTATACCTCGCAGCATATAATTTAGCAGTGAGCTACGGATCACATATGCACAAAATCCAA